TATTTATACTGACTGACTTATGAAAACAATAAAAAAACATAAAGCAAATATTTTTATATGTATACAGAAGGAAAAAAGCTAGTGCGTGTCCTCAAAAACTTTATTTGGCATCGTCAGTGGTGGGCATAGCTAACAAAAGGGTTAGCTTTATTAACCGCTTTGTAAAAAATAGCTTTGTTAATGCTAAACCACTAAACAAGTAAAACGAAACTAGTGGAGGCTAACGCTAACTGATAACTGATAACTAGAGGTCTGTCATTTCAACAGATGTGTGGTGTCCACAGAAACATCTGAATCTTGGCTAAAAACTAATAAAAGTACTGTATTTCTTCATCCACCAAACACATTTAAAGCCACAAGCAKGTGTAYTGAAAAAKGCTAAAGATGCTACGCACACACMWAAGTGTGCWGCGCTGCATGATGTGAGGGKAGAGTTGTTTTCATTTTCAGATTTAAAGTAAATGGAACTAAATTTAGCTGTTAGCTKTTARCACATTAACAGAACTGTGTCACTACTGCCTTAGTGAATCACAAATTGTTTTTCTCTTTTCTTTATTTTCTTACCTTTTAAAAAATAGTTTTTAGTAACTCATTTATGTGGTGAACCAACAGAACTATTGACCAGAAGTAAAACCCGTGTGCTCAAATGTTGTTTTTCTTAAAAAAAAAAATGTTTCAAACAAAGCTTTAAAATTGCTGTTTTGGGTGAGGGAATAGTTGTTTTTAATTTTGACTTAAAGTCAGCAGAACTAAATTTAGTGGAAGCTAACATGTCCGCTAACTGTTTCCAAAGTTAGCAAAAACACCAATAATACGCTAAACGGAAAGTAGGGCTGTGCATTGGCAAGAATTTGGCGATACAATACATATCGTGACAGAGGGGTCACGGTACGATATATCCCGATATATTGCGATACTGTAAGCAAGGCAATATATTGCGATTTTTTTTGTCCAAAAAATTCTATTAAATACCTGCCTTCTGTAACGTTGGAAAAAAGAGCACACAGGACACTTAATTTGGCTTAAAATACAGAAATTCTGACAAATAAGTAACTGTTTGTAACCTTACCTCAGCTTAGAAGGCAGAGGGTGTCGGTCTTTTCCGCTCAGATTCAGCTATCGGAGCATGAAGCTAATGTTTACTCACAATGCTAATGCTACCCTTGCTATCTGGCGCTCAAGAGGTAGAGGAGCCAAATGKCTGGCTCACTGCTGCCAACTAGTGGTCAGAGGCTGAACTACAACATAAAAATGAATGGCTGGCAGGAAAGTTGACATTTTAAACCTTAATAAAAAATCGATACAGGGCTTTAGAATATCGATACAGTATCGGGAAATGAAATATCGCAATATTTCAGTGTATCGATATTTTCTTACACCCCTAACGGAAAGCTAGCTCCACTATTAGTTATTAGCAGAGTATCCAACCTGTGCGGAGCACTGGGGTTTATATAGGGTACATATCTGCGATCTTTCCATCGGTCATTAAAAAGTCTGGTTAAGCAGCTGTAAAGTCGGCCCTGACCCTGTCATCTGAAAGCGTCCGCTCAGTCTGCAGGACTGTGACGGCTCTGCTGGGACTGAGCTGTACAGATGCCAGCATTATATCGAATGATGTCACAACAACACTGACAGCTAAGCCGGAACAACAGACTTCACTTTTGGCTGGCTTCAATTTGTTGACAAGCTGCCCAGAGAGCAGAGGGATTTTTTCTGCTGCGCTCAGTGCTGATTTTTACCATTAAAAATAAAAAAGCATTCAGTCACTTTAGGTTTATTTTTATGTGTTGGATTAAAAACACACATTTTGGTGACTCTAGATAGCACCAAAAGAYGTTTTATAATGAGTTTTAATCTCCTGTAAGTAATAATCCTAAAATGGAGGATCTTGTGTAACTTTAGGTCCCGTATGTCATCTCAATCCTGCTCACAGTCTGTCCATCTGCATTTATTAGACTCCACTGTAAAGTGGTCGTATTTGTTTACWATCAGAGCTTCAGATTAAACAGAAGCCTGCAGGAACAGAAAGTGAAGAAGTGACATAATCTCATCGGAAGAGGAGTTAATCTGCTCTGTATGTAACCACCATGGCAATGTCAAAATGACAGGAAAAAGGGTTCATAAAAGTGTTTTCTGTTCATTTTGAGTAAGACRGTTATTAAATATTCTCACCAGCTTGCTTTGTTAAAATAAAATACAAWTAATGTTTGTCCTTTTTTGTATTTTCAGTTGTTTGTATAAAGATATTCTAATCTTTAGGAATTATTCTGCGGGCACTTTAAGGTTTTGATGCAAATATAATAGAAGTCAAAAACGATTCTCTTCACATGCATTTGTTTCTTTCTTTTTTTTTTTAACAGAGTGTGCTCATTTGCTCCTGGCCCACAATGCTCCGGTGAAGGTGAAAAATGCTCAGGGATGGAGCCCCCTCGCTGAGGCCATCAGTTACGGGGACCGGCAGATGAGTAAGTATCTGGAACAAACTCACTGAAGCTGAAGCTGAAGCTGCTCCACAGGCAGACCACACCGTCATGTCGCTGTGTCTTCAGAGCAGGTTTCAGTCTGTGTGAAAACAGCAGCACATTCCTCCACACTGCTGCCTCCCAGCGAGGCCGTGATGGTGGTCTGGCTCTTTTGTTCCTCAGAGAGGGGGACATTCTTCAAGGCCCTCTGGCTCTGGGCTTTGTTGAAAGGATATTCATTAGATATTTCTCCCACACTTAATTGGACGATTTATTCTCAGGCCCATGTTGGCTACATACTGTTCAGAGGGGTCAGAGTTTTCATTTGTCGTATTTAGAGAATATTTTTCATCGTTTCAGTTTTATATGTAAGCACGGCTTTGTGCAGAAACAACAATAAAAAAACGATGGAATTTAACTGTATTAAATCCACAAATTACAGAAGAGGATTAGGGACACAGTGCAAAAAAACCAAAAAATTATTTTTCCTAAATTGTGATTTTAATGTGAGATCTCTCAGATTTACGACGGAGTATTAGGGCCACACAACAAGATTATTATTACAAGAATAAAGTCAAAATATTATGAGAATAAAGTCGTAATATTACGAGATTATAGTCATAATATTCTAAAATTAAACTTGTAAAATATACACTTTACATGAAAAAGCATGTCGTTACTGCATTAAAATGAGGAATGTTGAGCAACTTGCCAAGTTGTCATTTAGTATTGCTTAAAGGAGACCAATTATGGGTCCTAGAAATTTTTATGGTATGTCTGTGGGCTATCCAGACCATGTTCATTCAATTTAATGCACAAAAAAATTCTCAGATAATAAAATTTCCCATTTTCTAGTTCTGCCTGCTCTGACTTCCGTTCAGAAGAGCTGTTTATGTTAATGAGCTCTGTTGGTAACGCCCTCCAAAAATCTGTTGACATTAACTCCGCCCTCCAAAGCCAGCGTTTAYGTTAGCATGGCTAATAATAGCAGAAGGTCCGTTGTACAACCATAAGAGAGACCCAGAGGCAGAGTCGTGGTCGCAGCTTCTTTCTTTTTTTTTCTCTCCCTCCTCTGCTCTGTGCTCACTCTGCATGCTGTTACCAGAGCAGGGAGCAGCAGCAGTCAAAATACCTYAGAAACTCGAACAAATCGGCTTTAACAAGGCTTTAATAAGCTAAACAATAGAGGTATATGAGAAAATGTGTTCATAACGAAAGAAAATAAATAAATAATTAAATTGTGTCTGTGCTGGTCTCTGATCCAACACTCATTGCCCTATTGGAGGCTTGTTGTGAACTGAGCTGCGYATTACACAACAACAACTGTGAGAGCTTTTTATACTGAGGAGGTGGAGTCTCACCCGGGGGTTGCTAGGTAAGGGGCTGAGCGCAGGTTCCGGTGGGTTGTCGTACGGCTTGTGACATCACAAAAATAATGGAAGTATAAAACTTGTCGTTAATACATATTAAAAATACATTTACGTACAGTAAATATGCCCCTGGGTGCATTTTTTGGGTCCTAGGACTGTTTTTTTAAGAAGTACATACCCWAAGTTGAGTAAAAAAACCTTTAAAAAGTGAATTTTGCATAATAGGTCCCCTTTAAAATAAATAGTTAATCTTTTCAAATTATCAGTAGCAGGACTTTGAAATTGTACAAACGACTATAAACTGAAGCTGTGTTGTAATTAATGGATGCATTGACAGATTTAGTCATCACGTAGTTAATTTGGATGAAAGCATATTACACTGACCGTGACCCAAGTCATCTCGGACTACTTCATAAACACAGACACATGGCTGTACACAGAAGGTGTGAGGAAATGAGGAATGGAAAAAGGACAAGTCATGTAAGATTCTGACTTTTTTTCTCGTAAAATTACGACTTTAATCTCGTAATATTATGACTTTATTCTCATAATAATAATAATAATAATAATAATCTCGTTGTGTGGCCCAAATACTCCGTCGTAAAGATTAAAGTCAGAATTCAGAGAAAAATACGCTTTCTCGCTTTTTGTTTCTCATAATTGGAAAAATTTTCAGACTTCTGAGATTAAAGCCAGAATTCTGAGGAAAAACAAATCAGAATTTGGGGGGGGGTGATAATAATAATAGTAATAATAATAATAATAATAATAATATTATATATAAGCGTTAGCTCTGACGCTATCACCATATATATCTATTAGCTCAGTGCTACACTTTCTCCTCTCGTCACTGAGGTCCTCCATCCACATGACAGAGAGGGGAACACAAAAATGACTCAGCCTGTAACTGAAAACACGGATGGAGGACCTCAGTTTAGCTTGTTTGTTGTGCTAGCGCCGCGCTAATACATATAAGGCAATATAGCGTCGGCGTTAGCACGAAGGCTAACAGGCTAAGCTGAGGTTCTTCTTCCATGAAGCAGCTCTGTTGTCCTCCATCCATATTTTCAGTTACAGGCTGAGTCATTTCTACCTTCTCCTCTCTGTCAACGCTCTCTGGTTTCATTTAAAAGAGTCGATCATCAGATATTGTCCAAGATTAACCTTCAGGGTGGATATAGTTCCCTCACACCGATAACTTATCCACGTCATCATTTACCCAGAATGCTTTGTGTGTAAATAAAATGACTCCGCCCGTGTTAAAATATATTTTTAAAAATTTACAAAACTAAGCAGTCTACAGTATTTTTACAGTCGTTATTTTACTGTAAAATACAGTATATGTTTATCAAATAAAGTCTAATGTTACAACTAATTGTGGATCCATTATGATCCACAATTATGAAAATATTTTAGTTTGAGGAGGTTCTAAACCAGAGTTCTAAAGTTAACAAATCCAGGTAATGAGGTTAAGAGATGACACCTTTTTTTTTTTTCAGTTTTAGGTTCATTCTATCTCTAACTGGTCAAGGCACTCTTTGCATGCTTCCAATGTTTTACCACAGGCTTTACCTTAAAGCAGTGGTTCCCAGTCCTGGTCCTTAAGTTCCCCTATCCAGCATGTTTTACTTGTTTCCCTGGTATTCAGCAGGTCTTCAGAGGATTATTAATCACTCATTCATTCAAACCAGGTGTGTCAAATCAGAGAAACATCTAAACATGCAGGAAAGGAGTCCTTGAGGACTAGGGTTGAGAATCACTGCTTTAATACATGATATCTGATTTATTATTTACAAATAAATGGCAGCGAATCAATGGCTTCCAGAGGCAATGCTAAAAGACGTAAAACTGAGTCAATATGTTTTGAAAATGTCTCATCAAGCTCAGAGAAGCTCTTGAGGTGTTGGTCAACATTTAARGCAGTGATTTTTAGATGTTTCCCTGATTTGACACATCTGGTTTGAATGACTGAGTGATTAACAATCCTCTGAAGACCTGCAGAAGAGCAGGGAAACAAGTAAAACATGCTGGATAAGGGTACTTGAGGACCAGGGTTGGGAACCACTGCCTTAAAGGTAACTAAAATCAGGCAGCAAGGAAAACAAAAAACAGTAACAAGAAAAAAAAATCTTCAAAACAACATAGTTATGCTTCTTTCCAGTTCTCTTCCTAACTTGGTACCAATTTGCTGCCTTGTTGTTAGATTTTAGGTAGGAGAACATACCTATTTTCAATTCAAGAATGAAGTTTATTCATATGTTGGGGCAGCTGTGACAGAGTGGTTAGGGGAGTCATTCTGTAACCAGTGTGTTGCTGGTTCAATTCCCTGCTCTATCCGTCTCAGTCGTTGTGTCCTTGGGYAAGGCACTTCACCCACCTTGCCTGCTGGTGGTGATCAGAGGGCATCTGTGTATGGCATGTGGATGTGCGTGAATGGGTGAATGTAGAGTCCATAGGGACTTGATAAAGCGCCATGTACCAGTTGGATCCAGGGAGTACAGCAATAATAATCTAAGAAAATAACTACATAGTTTGAGTTGGTCTTTGAAACTTGACATTTGAGACTTGAACCAGCTTTGTCTTCAGATTTTTACAACTGTATCTTGTGACTTTTTTGTCTTGGTTTTTTGGGGTCAGCTGACTGGTACAGGAACCTCATGCTGGCAGATGCTACAGTCTGAATCAGCAGTTTGGTTTTTGAAAATTAACTAGAGAAAAAATGGTTCTATGGGCATTGTAGTGACAGTTTAACAGCAGGCAGCTGACTGCATACTGTAAAAAAAAGACTTTACCCTCTATATAGGACTTGACCTGGCCGTCGTGGTGACATCACAGCAGAAACATGCTGATGTCTGTAAATCAAGACTATTTTCTCCATTCAGCAGAGTAAATGTTAGGTCTTTTACAAGGTTAGCCTAGCAGAACTCTTCAACACTGAGAGCTGACTCAGCATGTCAGGACTTTGTGATGGACGTGGGGCAGTTAAAAAAAACAATTTAAATGTCACTTTAAGCAGCGATTTTTTTCTTTTTCTTTTTCTTTTAAGTGATAGGTGCATTTATTGCCTGTGTGTGTTTTTGTTTTTATCCAAGAGTCCGAATGTTCAGATGGAGCTATTTGTGTCCTCAGTTTTCTTTCCCTCTCACGGCTGTGCCACCAGTCTCAGGAGGCTTTAAAGAACCAAAGATTGGTGTTATTAGCTGCTTATCCCAGGGAGAGCCAGACGGTAATGGTTTCTGAAGTGCAAATAAGAAGACACTAAATCTGTCTGCTGARACTGTCAGAATTTGTGACGAATTTAGATAAAGTCTGGTGAAACTTGTTTATGGAAAATATCAGAAAAAAATAAGCACTTATATTACCTGTGGCATACCAGCACACAGCCTTCAAAGCAACCCCGTGTTACTAGTAGCTGCTCCCTGATTCTTGGAGATCTGCCAGCAGCTGTTATTAAATTAGATTTAGAGGACTAATTGTTGAAAAGCACTACTTTGTGGGGGTGGAATCGAGCGGCGAAATTTTCTCGATTTAGTCTGTTTTCATTAGCGTGCAGGGACAGAATTACAGAGACGACTCACCTTATTTACGCCAGAGAAGTGTCCTCATCAGACTCTGTGAATTAGTGCCAACACAGACAGACAGCTGGTTTATCGTTGAACCTGTGATTGGTCCAGATGGTGAGATTGTTCTCGTTTTATTCATCTCAGACTGCGAGGTGTTGAGGATCAAGAGGAGCCCTTTCCCGTGCTTGTCAGCACTCATTAGACCTGACCACAAATATCCCCTCACCCTAGTTGTGTCTTTGTTGGTTAGCACGTGTGACACCATGTGTATCAGTGTGTTCATGCCTGTGCTCTCGTTTGGTCTAATTTAACCTTTTCTCCCTTTGTTCTGCCACATGAGGAGCACCAGTGAAACCATATGAACAGTAGTAGACACGGTTCTACTAAAYTTAGTTCTGACTTTAAGTCTCCTAACAAAAACAGAATCAACTATCCCATTTGTAATAAAAATACCTAACGTGTTGCCTCTGTGTCTATCTTAGTTTCTGTCACGCTTTAATGTTAGCATTCATGCTAACTGTATTTTACCGCTTTTCCTCCAGTTTTCCACGAATTCGCCCATCGACCTCGTTTTCATCAAGACCCTCGTCGTCTTCCTCCACAGCTTCAAAAAACATTACCATAATTGTCCCAGCAGTTTCACAACCAAATGAAAGTTGGTTATTTTTATTTTTTATTTATTTATTTGTTTTTTGTTTTTTTTACATGAAGCTGCCCGCTTCTGCCTGTGGAAACAACCCTTCAAAATAAAAGTTATAAAATGCAACCATTTAGTGCGATGACTTATGGTTTAATATTGGTCTTCAACCCTGTTCCTCGTGACCCGCAGTCTTCTATGTTTTAGCAGTTTCCCCTGATCGATCGATATATCCGACTATCTATCTATCATCCATCCATCCATCCATCCATCCATCCATCCATCCATCCATCCATCCATCCATCCATCCATCCATCCATCCATCTATCTCTATATATCCATCTATCTATCTATCCATCTATCTCTATATATCCATCTATCTATCCATCTATCTCTATATATCCATCCATCTATCTCCATATATCTATCCATCTATCTCTATATATCTATCCATCTATCTCTATATATCCATCCATCTATCTCTATATATCCATCCATCTATCCATCTATCTCTATATATCCATCCATCTACCCATCTATCTCTATATATCCATCCATCTATCCATCTATCTCTATATTTCCATCCATCTATCCATCTATCTCTATATTTCCATCCATCTATCTCTATATATCCATCCATCTATCTCTATATATCCATCCATCCATCCTCCCTCCCTCAGAGGGGTGACCTGTACCCATATCCAGCAAGTGCGAGGGGCAGGCCTAACCTGGACACATTGCAGGTCCATCACAGGCTTCGGCACACCTGATTATTACTTACTCAGAATGTCATTAAGTTTAGCAAAAGACTGTCAATCATGTGCGCTGAAGCAGGTAATCCTCTAAAACATGCAGGACAGTGGGTCWCGAGGAACAGGGCTGAAGACCTCTGTTTTGTGTGGCTTATGSTTTAGTCCCTAGATAACAYGTYGRTTTAATGAACGGTTTGTAGCTGTGTTTGGTYGACATTGAAATGTTTTTATGAGCTTTATGCCAAGATTCTGACATTTGAGTGGATACCACGTGTGTCTTATGTTTAAATGACAGACCTTGCAGTGTAGTGTTTGTGAAGCTAATTTGTTTTTTTTTTACATTGTGGATTGGCGCTTAGCAAAGCTAACCACCACTGCATACGAACAACCTGCTGAGTCRCTGTCAGAGTGTAGAGGAGCCTTGGTGGTAGTCAGGCTTATGAWAATTCTTACATGTCCTCCTTTTAAGGGGTTCTTAAAATCATGGAGGATTTCCTGGTTGTAATGGGCCAATCATATTTTCATTTTTACAACTTTYCCCAGCCTGTAACTGACACGGTTTATTTATTCTTCTGTGGGYTTTATCAGAGTCGTACCGTATCATGATCAACTGATGCCCCTACTTCCTGCTRAACAGCAAATAACATTTAAATAAATTCATAGCAGTCAAAGGTGAGCCTCTTATTTTTCTTTTTTTTTTTCTTCTTCTTGAGTGGGTTAAAGATGTGTTATAACGTGACTGGTCATGGTTAAGAGCTCCCTGCGAGCGTGCCTCTTCCTGGGGTTGTTAAGGAGGTTAAAGGCGCAGCTCATTACCAGGCAGCCTCGTCTCTGCCAGGCTTGTTCTCTTTGAACTTCCTGGAACGTTCAGATCCCTGCAGGTGGTGCAGGGGGAACGGTTCTGCGAGGGTCCCTCCTGGCTCCAGGAAGTTGGCACATCTCTCAGGCARAAACCACGTAGTGTAAACTAGACAGTCTGTCCTGTACGGGGTTTCACCGTTGCTAGTATTTGCATGAAAAACTGTTAATTTTTAAGTATTTGCCTATGTATTCTGCTCTGCGCACTCTAAACTGTAAGAGTCCTCTGATGATACAAATTCATTAGAAGAATCGAACTACAGGTGCTTCCAAAATATCGATTTGGACGTCAAAGTTTCAAAAATAGAGATTTAAAGTCATGTGGACAATGAATTTGTGATTCAGATTAGACTGAGACGATCAAATCCAAATCATTAGTGTATGAAGCACATTAGTGCTTATTTTTATTTTGAAGGAAAGTATTTTGAGCTCTGCTTTTTTTTTTAAACTCGAGTGTTGATGCTTTTGTTCACGTCTTCCTCCTCCCTCAGTCACAGCGTTGCTGAGGAAGCTGAAGCAACAGTCCAGGGAGAGCGTGGAGGACAAAAGGCCCAAACTGCTGAAAGCCCTCAAGGAGGTATGCAGTCCTAAATGGCACTTCTRACATCTAAGGAGTAACTCTTTGTGCTCGTAAAACCTGTTTAAAACCTATTAAAATCCTCGCTTTTTCTTTCTTTTGCTTCATTTCCTAAGTCTCAAAAATGCGTTCCTTCCTGTGTTTTCTGGATGAGTTGTTCTTCCCTCGCACACCTAAAATTACACAGTCAGGATTCTAAAACACACAGACAGAGTCTCACAGACACAAACAGACCTCAGTCAAGGTTGTTATTCCCAAATTACTGTCATTACAACAAGGCAAAGCCAGGACGCACCAACACGTGCGCATTATCAGCTGGTCAAAATAAAACCCATCAACCCCAAATAAAACCTCACAGGGCTTCTGTCGGGCTCTGACGTCATCGGCGCACACAGATAACTGTTTTCACACCTTCTGTTTAGAAACGAGTCCCACGGGTTTCAGTTGTTTTCAGGGTTTCAATTGTTTTCACACCCTTGCATTATATTCTGTAAACATATAGAGTTACACACACTGCTGTGAAGTTCGGTGTGACACAATCTTACAGAATCTTTTTAAATGTGGACGAAACGAAACCAGAACRGGTGACCCTGTTTCTGCACACTTTCTACACTGTTTCACCCGTAGGGGACATCAGATCAGTGTTTACTGATCAATACTTGATTCACCTTTTAAACAACGGTAAATAAATAATATAATAATGTATAAATCAGACTCATATTACCAAAGTGTGAGACTGTAAGATTCAGGGAACCCTTTTTCATAAACACTACTCAACGATGAAGAAATCATCTTTGTCTTTTTGGTCATTTATTACAAAAATAGAAGAATCAAACTTAGTGTTCCAAAGCCAGCCAGGTCTTCCTCAGGGTGTCCTTCTAGTCAGACATGCCGAGAAAACCCTCCCCAGTGAGGCGTCCACGTGACATTCTTACCAGATGACCGAACCACCTCAACTGGTTCCTCTCGATGGGGAGGAGCAGCGGCTTTACTCGGAGTCTCTCCTGAAAAGCTGAACTTTCCACCCTCGAAGGGAAAGTCCAGCTACCCTGYGGAGAAAACTCTTTTCAACCTGAATTTGAGGTCTCATTCTTTCAATCACTACCCAACGTTTGTGACCGTAGGTGAGGGTAGGAATGTAGACTGATCGGTAAAGAGTTTCACCTTTCAGCTCAGCTCCYTCTTCACCACAGCAGACCGGTACAGAGTCCACAATACTGCAGAAGCTGCACCGACCCGTCTGTCAAACTCACCTGTCTTTCTTCTCTCGCTCCTGAAATAAACACTGRAATACTGCAACTCTTCCAGTTATGGCAGAGCTGGAGATCACTTAATGATGATGCTAACATGACCGCATCATCTGCAASTCCCACCCTGAAGGGGTCCGACTTACTGCCGGTGATACGAACCAATGATTCAACTAGGGTTGTGCAATATTGGCAAAAAAAATTTTATCTCGATTTATTGTGGTATTTAGCCGATAAAGATTAATTTGGCGATTAATGCCCTCGAGTCCCTGGACACCCTTATGTCCTAGTCACATGACCAATGTAGTGAGAAAGATTTGCTCTTTGTAAAAATCTGTTCCAAACTGTGTCAAAATTACAGACTTCAGGCTGTACATCAAATTTAAATTGTGTTGATAGATAAATAAATTACAGAATTTTTTTTAATGTTCGTCATATTTGAAGTGGAGAGGAGCACTGAGCGGACTCTTCCTGGTGGCATTAATCGTATTAATCATCAATTGCCAAAAAATAATCGATTAATGTTTTTCTGAAGATTAATTGCACACGATACGGTTATGCTCAACCCTAGATTCAACATCCTCACAGTGTAAATGCTCAGTCTGTTACAAGTATTAATACAAAGCTGATTGTTSTTCTTTATGTAACTTTTGTCAGAACCTATATTTTTATGTCTTTAGAGAACTTATGAGCCCTCCATAGACAATATTTTAAATGACATTTATAGAGATACTTTATGGATGAGGCAGACAGGTGGAAACTGATTAAGGAGGTTGGCTATTATTAGAAAATCTGTTTTTTTATTTTTTTTTTTTTGGTGTTCAGTGATAATAACACAACTCAAAAGCAGATTTAGCCTTTATAGATAATTTCTATGATCTTTATCTACCTTTAGATCAAAAACTCTCCTGCTCAGGCATCTCTTGCAAGAGAAATCTGTGATCTCAGTGGGATTTTCTTGGTTAAATAAAGATTAATAAATAAGTAAAAAAAAACTTGTATTTTCTTTAATTAACGTTGCTTTCATCCACAGCTTGGAGACTTTTACTTGGAGCTTCACTGGGACTTCCAGAGTTGGGGTGAGTCAAACGCTGATCGTTCTGTTTTCTGAACTTTGTCAAAACGAACCACTTATGGACAGCTTGTCACATCGACCCAGTTCTACAAAGATAGATTCAGTCTGGAGCTCGTGTCAGATCATCACTTTGCAGCTACGCTGTTTTCACTCKGCTTATTCAACAATGCTGGCTTGTTTTTGGTCAATACGGCTGTGCCTCTGTTTGGCCTCTGCGAGTGGAGGGAACAGGGTCAGTGTTTGTCTGCCCACCAAGCATCATAGAGGCATGAGTGACCAGTGAACACACACTGACCATTATTACTCCTGCTGGACATAAACTCRCACATCAGCTGTTCTCTGACAAGACGTCGCTGTAAATAACTGGGCTTAGAGAGCTTGTATAAATCTGCTTCAAAAGATCGTGTTGTTTGTTTGATTTACACACGTCTGTCTTGAACTCTCCTAGAACCTTTTATAGTTGTATGGATGATAAAACTACAAAGAAGGCAGTTATTAAATATTTAGCAGCAGAAGTACGTTATCGCTGCTACATATATGAAGCTCTAGCCTACAGGCTTCCATGCTTCCGAGGCTTTGAAGTGAATTTTTTAGCGAGCTTGCTAAAYTTAGCTTTTCCTCTGATGTTTTTTAAACGTCCTCTCTCTGTATCGTCTCGTGTTTTAGTGCCTTTGCTGTCCAGAATCCTGCCGTCTGATGCGTGTAAGATTTACAAGCAAGGCATCAACATCAGGTAAGTCTGGTTAAAAACAAGGGTATTTTATTTAAATCAGTATTGGTTGTTTGTGGACGACAAAAAAGCTGATGTGAAACCTCAAAATGGGGAAGGTGTATGGTAACASCCCCGATCTGTAACTTCTGGGGTTGTGTGCATCAGTCTGAGCTTTAYAGTTCAATCTTCTGTGCTGATGAGCAGCAGTATGTCGTCACACTGACACACAGTTGCAGTGATGAAGCTGCAGTAAATCCATTTCACTGTGCTTCATTAGCCTGTGAGCAGAAAGCTAATGTCGTAAGATTCAGCTTGTAAACAAACGTTATTACAGTGATTTTTAAAGCTTAGACTAAAGAAAAGTGCACTTCTTATCAGAGCAAACTGATTCTTTTACATTTTGTACGACTAAACCATCAACTAAAGCTGTCTGAGGTCTAAATTAAAGTTTGCTTTTCCCTTAAGAGCTAGCCTTAATATGAAGCCGCTCATTATGCTCTGAAACTGCTCATGGCTGTCTAATTTGGTATTCAAAATGCCCTTTCATTATTCTGGAGATTTAGGGAAAAGAAAGAGACTAGAGGGTGAAAGGAAAAGAACTGTCACCAAGTTCATTTGCATTCTGCTGCTGCAGCTCGTCAGGCTTCTCCTTCTSCTAGCATCTTTAGCTCTTCACGTGCAGATCTGTTGAACACATGCAGACAGAGACAAACGCCTGTGGTTGCACAACATCTCTGAGCCATTCTCTGCWGCTTACCGTCCTGTTTTTGCTCCCGATTGTAGGTTGGATACCACCCTGATTGACTTCACGGATATGAAATGTCAGCGTGGAGACCTCAGTTTCATCTTCAACGGCAACGCCGTCCCCTCCGAGTCTTTCGTCGTGCTGGACAACGAACAGAGAGTCTACCAGAGGATACACCACGAGGTGCGTGAGAACCTGAAGGCTCCTAATTCATACCCTGGATCTTAGCCTCTGTTTACCGTATTTATTCATGTATAAAACCCTCATTTTCTGAGCTTWAAAAGCATTAAAAATCTAATTCTCGTGTTTAATGCTACCACTGATTTCACACAGACTTCAGAGTTTTAAAGCTTTCGCCCTCTGCTGGGTAAACATTATTTGGGAACACACACATATGGGTGTGTTTGCTGCTTCCTAGAGCAGCACTGGTGCCGTCTCTTTGTAAGAAAAGTAGCTATTGGCTATTATACATGCATAAATACGGTATGTTTCATTTTTTTTCTTCTTGTAATTCTAGGAATCAGAGATGGAGACGGAAGAGGAAGTGGACATTCTGATGAGCAGCGAYGTTTACTCCGCCACGCTCTCCACCAAGTCCATCACCTTCTCCAGGGCACAGAGTGGATGGTTGTTYAGAGAGGACAAGACGGTGAGTGTGGCTCAGAGATCTCTTTTTTATTTTTATTTTTTTAAATCACTTCAGTAGAAAAAAGAACTTACCGTATTTTTCGGACTATAAGCCGCACCCGCCATTTAAAAAAAAACCCCGCGAACATTAGCAGATAAGCTGCACGCCCAACATAAAAAAAATCCAGTACACCCAAAATTGTCGTCAAAAAAGTGAATTCAACATCAAAACATAAAAAGCAAACCTTTAGGAATTAAAGTTCGGAGAAATACGGTTCATTTAACTGACCTTATTTTGGTAGTTTTCTTTAACAGTTTCTGGTCCAACAAAACGTCTCATTCATCTTCC